GCTTTTGCTCCTTACACGATCTTTGGGCCTCTCATAAACTATTGTATGTTTCAATAATAATCTTTTGCTCTGGATGTCTGAAGTTTATTAGTTTGGCTTACTGTATTTTTACTCATTGCCTGTAGCCTATCTACCTGAGCTCTGAGTTATATCAAACAGAAACATGGGCCCTGCATAATGCCAGCCAGGTTATAACAGATGTATAAAACAATTTGTAAGGTTTGTTCTGCTCCTTCTGTAACCAGAGCTTATACAGGAAATGTAGGAACCCTTCACTGCCACTGCATCAGGAAGGGATTGGTGTCAGGGCAAGTATAAATGTCATAAAATTATCCATATTTTTTGAAGTCACCTCTTTCTTGATTTAGTGTTCATTTAATTACTGCAAACCTCTGACTCTTTTCAGAGTTCTGGGAAATTTTGTTCTGACAGTTTCTGCTTACTTTTCTTTGTTTCTTTGTGGGGATAAGAACTTGGAACGGCCTACTCTGCCATTTTGCCAACCCAAAATTTTAAATTCTGAAACTAAATTTTAAATGTTGGTGGTCAAAGAACCTAGTAAGGACTTAAAACATTTTTTATGCCTAGCAGATCTAGATACTTTTTTAAATACATACCATTGGAGTGCGATGTTTCACTTTGGTCTGGATAACACCATCTTTTTCGAACTGTACCATATCATTAAGTGGGTCCCATGGTCGAGTACTACATAAGCAATAAAAACACCATTTGTTTAATGATTAAATAAAACACTTAACATTGTCAAAGTTTAGATTAGATTTTCTTTAGTAATTATAAACCTAGCAGTAAAATTTAGATATGTCATATCTAATTTTCTGATCCTCAGCTTATTTTATAGACTAACAATTATCATGGATTCAAATTTATAATAAATGGAATTAAGTTTAAATCTCACATTTACACACACACATTATATATATATATATATATATATACACACATATATATATATTATATACACACACACACATATATATATTCACACACACACACATATACGTATATATATATATGGCTTAATAAAAAACTAACAAAAATTCTAGAAATAAAGGCAACAAATTATGCTGATAATTACTTACTCTGCAAACTTGTAATGCCATTCTCCTGTGAGTGGCTCAAGTTCAAATAACTTGCAAGTCCACTCTTCATTTTTTGTTTTCCGATCTCTGGCAGATTGTCTTTGAGCTTCCTCTAAAACATACTTCTCTTGAGTAGCTTCTGTTTGGTCTTTTGCATTTATGGCTCGAGTTACTTGCTGCCAAAGTCTAATACATGTACAAAAATAGTAGAAAAAGCAACAGAAAGTCAAATCTACATTGAACAGGTTTAAATCCCCTTTAAAGAAAATGATACCCGTGTGTGTTGTCTTTGACAAAGCTTATACTGAGATGCTTAGAAATGAGTGCAGATATAAAAAGTGGTCCTTGAGTAGAGCAGTAGTGGAAACTAATTTTTTTTCTTGGCAATAGAAATTTATTAACATGGACTCTTTCTTAAAAATATATTTTTATTGCTTTCAGAGAGGAAGGGAGAGAGATAGAAACATCAATGATAACAGATAATCATTGATCAGCTGCCTCTGGCACGACCCCCACTGGTGATTGAGCCCACAATCCAGGCATGTGCTCTTGGCCGAAACTGAACCTAGGACAGTATTGGCGAGCCTTTTGAGCTCGGCGTGTCAGCATTTTGAAAAACCCTAACTTAACTCTGGTGCCGTGTCACATATAGAAATTTTTTGATATTTGCAACCATAGTAAAACAAAGACTTATATTTTTGATATTTATTTTATATATTTAAATGCCATTTAACAAAGAAAAATCAACCAAAAAAAAGAGTTCACATGTCACCTCTGACACATGTCATAGGTTCGCCATCACTGACCTAGGACCTTTCACTCCGCAGGCCCGATGCAGCCAAACCATCTAGGACTGGACTCTTAAACATATGGCAATGAATGGTACTGACCCAAGATGAGAGGAATCTGGGAATGGGCCCAAGTATTTTTATTTTTTTTTAAATAAATTTTTATTGCTTTCAGAGAGAAAGGGAGAGGGAGAGAGAGACAGAAACATCAATGATGAGAATCATTGATCGGCTGCCTCCTGCATGCCTCCCACTGGGGATCGAGCCCACAACTCAGGCATGTGCCCTTGACTAGAATCTGGGACCCTTCAGTCCACAGGCCAATGCTCTATCCACTGACCCAAACTGGCTAGGGCCCAAGTATTTTTTTTAATGCTTCCCAGGTGATTTTAATGTGTAGCCAGTGTTGAGAACCACTGATTTACCAGAAAAGACTACTAAGATAAAATTTTTCCCACTACTAAAGTTTAGTTTTATATCAGAAAAATAAAAATATAGTATCTATATTCCACTAATCTGGGAAAACAGTATGTTGGGACTGAAAGAACAAAGGCTTTGGAATTAGACTTGGGTTGAATCCTAGATCACTTCTTAGATATGAACTTAAAGTTACTTACACTGCCTCAGACTGGTTTTCTTCACCTTTAAAATATGTTAAATTATGTTCTCACCTCAAAAATTATTGTATGCCTTGGCAAAACTTCATTCTAAATGAAGAGCATCATGTGGTTATAGCTGAAACAGAATTTTAGGACTTGTGCATACATATTATTCCATCTTTGACAACCTCAATTTTAAGTGTAGAAGGAAAGTACACAAACACTTGAATCATTTAGAGAGTATGATAACGCATGTGAGTTGACTAAACTGCATAATGTGTATCAAGGACTCAGTAAAGTGTCTTTTACACAAACACCCCCTTCTAACACAAAGAAATATATTGTAGTAAGGCCCAGCTGGGACCAGTGGTTGAGCAGTTCACGGTTCAATTCCCAATCAGGGCACATGCCTGGGCTGCGGGCTTGATCTCGTGTGGGGAATGCAGGAGGCAGCCGATCAATGATTATCTCTCATCATTGATGTTTCTACCTCTCTTCCCCTCTCCCTTCCTCTCTGGAATCAGTAAAAATATAATTAAAAAAAAAGAAATATAGTAAGAATAAAATTGGATAATGTGTATATAATATATTTGGTTTAAAAGATTACAGATCTAGCTATCAAGAATTTCATGACATTAAGAGCAGAAACTATGGCCTTAATTATTACCCAACTAATGCAAGTCTGCACATGCAATGGCATTATTCATGTATTTTCAAAAAATGAAACAAAAGTAGATTTTGTGCCATATCCTTCATCTAGAGTTCGAGATGCCCTTCCCAGGTCAGAAAACAGCTGCCAAAGAATCATTAATTAGTGCCATAATTGTATGCAAAAAAACCTAGAAGTTCTTTCATTTGACATTCACATAAACTACAACAGAATCCTGACACATCCCACAAATGTTAAACTATTTTGCTGAATTAAAATATAATTGAAGGCAGAGAAAAATGACTACACTTGTAAGGGATTAAAAATATACTCTTTATCATCATGAAATTACCTGAAAAATGATATACTTACTTTTCTGATTCAAAGTCTCCCTGCTCTTCAAATTTTACAGTGTGCCTTATTAATCTCCATTGCTTAATGTCTGGTGTTGGATTCCAGAAAACCTCTGAATTATCAGTCTTTTTGTCATTAATAAAAACTTCACTATCCTGTATTTAAAGAATTGACACATTAATGTGGAGAATTATCTTTATTTAAAAAGGAGATTACACAATATAGTAATGTAATAATACTTAATCCCACAGTTAAACACATTTTAAAAACAAATATAACTACCATTTTTCTAAAAACCCCAAATCTTTCCTCATTTTTAGAAAAACACCAATGTTAAATATGTAATACTAGAATTTTAAAATCTGATTGAATACACAGGAAGTTCATGAGATTTCACAAGTTTTACTTAATAAGCAAATTTCAAACAAATATATGCAAAGCCTCACCAACCATCTCCGAATTGCCACAGTGGATCACAGTGTTTGCTACAGCTACAAGGACATGGCTATTTATACTTTCAACATATGTAGAAAAACCTGAAAGAGCCTTTCTAAGCATTAAACATTTGAGCACAATCTGAAAAATTTCATTTTTTGAAAAACTTTTTATCATTTTCCCAATGATATTCATATAGAAGTAAATTAAAAAATATATTTTTTATTGAATTCAGAGAAGAAGCGAGAGGGAGAGAGTTAGAAACATCAATGATGGGAGAGATGGGCTGTCTCCTGGACACCCCCCACTGGGGATCAAGCCTGCAACCCAGACATGTGTCCTTACCAGTAATTGAACCGTGACCTCCTGGATCATAGGTTGAGTCAACCACTGAGCAACACCGGCCGAGCATATAGAAGTATAATTTTAAAATTACAGAGGGCCCTGTGGTTGAGTTTCTAGATCCAGTTTCATTTTCTTACATTTCTTATCATTTCCTGCTTATTATAATGCATAAAATACTCAGTGTTCATAGTGAGAGTGCACCCAGGCAATGGCATGGTCTGATCGTTTTTATTCAGTTAAGCTTCTCTTAACAAAAATACATAGATGTGAATTTAGGTCAATAGTGAAGTAAATAAAACCCATTGCTCTCATATACAACCATAGCCTTTCCATGTTCCTGAAAAGGAAATATAACTCTAATGGGAAATGCCCCTTTCTTCTAGGTGAGAGGCAGTATACTGTTGTAATAAAAGCAGTCCTGGAGCCACAGTGCTTAGGCTGGAATTCAGAGAGGAAGGGAGAGGGAAAAAGATAGAAACGATAGAAACATCAATGATGAGAGAGAATCACTGATTGGCTGCCTTCCGCATACCCCCTATTGGGGATCGAATCAATAACCCGGACATATGCCCTTGACTGGAATCGAACCTGGGACCCTTCAGTCCGCAGGTCAACGCTCTGTACACTGAGCCAAATCGGCTAGGGCAGCAAATTATTTAAACTCTCTGTGCCTCAGTCTCCTCTGTAAAATAGGGACAATAACAGTAACCACCACAAAGAATTATTATGTTAAACATTAAATGAGTTAATATGAGGAACATTTATAAACACTGCAGTGCATAGTAAGTGACATATGTGTTAGTTGGTTTTACTGATTTAAAGTTTTGGAAAGATAAAATATGACATACAAGTAGACATTGTTGGTAACAGAGCAACACCAAAATATTTGTTAGGGTGAAGCTTATGTTAAATAGTGATGATTTTAGCAATGGAATCAGTGAGAATAAATAGAAATTTGAAGTTGTTGACATGGAAAAAAATAGCTTAAAAAAACCCAGACTATGTGAAGTTCTAATAAACTTACTGAGAAAGATCACACTGATCTAACTGACAAGTCCTGTGCTATCTCCTGCCTCAGACTGTATTCTATCAATGTTGCAATAGATGAAGCAAAAATAACTCAGTAAACCTAAAGGACTTAACTCATTTATTAAAAGAAATAACACCCACTCCTTCAAAATAAAACAGTAAAATAATACGCAACCAAAAGTACCTCCAAAAAATAAGATTAGAAGAACTATACTTTGAGTTACTATGTTGCATTACTGATGTTTCTCCTCAGTGACAAAATTTTGGTGCTCCAGTCTAATCATTAAAGATATTATAAATTACTTAAGAGCTCTTTAGTCATGATTTTCAAATATCATTATCACCATACAAGCAAAAATTTGTTAAGATGAAAAAAAAAATCAAATGAAGGACATTACATCAAATAACACTTAAAAGAGATCCTTTTTAATTAGTGAAAAGTTGCTGGTCAGCTGGATATCAACATGGTAATTATTAATAAATATTAATAGTTCATAGAAATATTTTTATCTGAACATAATGTACTATCTTATGCCAATCACTGACACTGTGAAAGGCCTTAAATTTCCCTTTCACTCTAAACAGGCAAGATTTTCCAAAGATTATCTCAAGCATATTTATCCTTCCCCCTCTAGCCCACATGCTCTTCCTCAATGATGCCCTGCCATCTTCCCAGTGAGAAGTGGAGTCTACATCCCTTCCCCTTGAATTTGGGTAGGTTTATAACTCTTCAATTAATAGAGAGTGGTGGAAGTGATGAAATTGGACCTTTGAGTCAAGGACGGCAATGCAGTTTTCACCTTACTCACAAGAACACTTACACTTGAAATCCTGAGCTGCCAAGTGGTTGTTAGTCTGATTGTCTTGAAGCGGCCAACTGGCTGTGAGAAGGCCAGGGTACATGGAAAGGCCACATATATAGGTGTTAAATTAGCAGTCCTACCTAGTCTTTCAGTCATCTGGACCAGGCATCAGACACATAACTAACTGATGAGCCTTCAGATGGTTCTAGGCCATAACTGTGGTCACTCAGTCTGCAAGTCTTTCTAACTGAAGCCACTTCCAATATATTATCTATCCAAATTCCCAACCCACAGAACCCCTACGGATCAAAAAATTGTTGTTTTTAAGCTTGTGAGTTTTAAATTGTTAGTTAGAAATAACTAACACAACTCTCAGTGTACACAGCTATAGCTCAAGTGGATACATACTTTTTTGGTTTTTGTGAAGCAATACTTTCATTTACTGAAAAATTTATATCCATTTATTTCTTAGATTTCATCTCATATAATTCAAACCACTTTATTAAAATAAAGAAATAAAAAATGATAGCTCCGTAGTGATCTGGATCTTCCAAGACTGCCCTTTCATGAATTCTGTGTTATTATATTTAGTCTTTAAATTATAAACTAAACTGTGTTCTTTTCTTAGGATTTATATTACAGCTCCTTTTTTTATTAGGTGATACGTCCTATTATTCTCTACTAACCTTTAGTTTAAATTCAAGTATTGCACTGTATCCAGTTTTCTGACATGTAATATTGACTGTTCCACCAAGCTCCAGTGTCATTGTGCCATAAAGAATTCCTAAAGAAAAAAAACAATTTTGACAGAAGGTTGAAGAGAGAGACACTGGCTAATAACAAGTAGAGCTTTAAAATCTACTTTCATTCTAGGAGAAACTAAAAATGCAAGGTACTCCATCCCACTTAGTAACAATTTATAGTATACATATAAAGTTAATTCTATAGAATTTGAATAGCTAATAAATGATAGTTGATCCACATTATCTGTAGATTCTACATCTGCATATTCACAAACACACTGAAATACATTAGTAATCTCCAAATCACTACCCACAGCACTGCTGCAGTCATTCATGAACATGGGCAAAGTGTTGAAATTTTGAGTTGTTATTTGTTCTTGGAACAAGCTGTAAGGCAGTTTAAAATGCTCACTTCCAAAAGGGGAACAAACTGTGCAAGGCTTCTCATTCTTACTGGGTTATGGAACACTAATTTTATAAAACGATGTTCATTTCCAAAAGGGGAACATACTATGCAAGGCTCCTCATTCTTATTTGGCTACGGAACTCTAATTTTGTAAAACAGACTAGTGATCTGGGAACACATCTTAGAAAATACAAAGGGTAAAAATAATCATTATTTCCTATGCTCATTCACTAAAAGTTATAATCTCGTCTTCCTTCCATGCAATAAAAACTACGCTATGAAAAAATTTGCCCCTGTTGCTAGTTGGGTTACGGTATTGGGTACTTACACGAAATATTTCACGTGATATAAAATTTAAAAATATATTTATCAATTCATTTCATACTTTCAGATATTTCACTTCATGTCTATTTCAAGAACCACACATGAAACTAAGAATTATCTAGCTACTGGCCACAGGTTGGCCATTCTTATACTTAGAACTAGGAAGATTCATGGTATAGTAGATGGGCATCAAGCATAGAGTTTATTCTCAGTTCTCACTAACTAGCTTGTTTGGCCTTGGATAAGATTCTTAACCCTCCCAGTTTCCTCCTCTGTGATGTGAGGTCATATGAAATAAGTTATATGTTTTCATGATCAGTTCCTAAAATAGAGGATCATTACAATAAATAGTTATTTTTAAGAAATGGGTTGGCCACAGTCGGCGTGGCTCAGTGGTTGAGCATTGACCTATAAACCAAGAGGTCACAGTTTGATTCTCGGTCAGGACACACACCCAGGTTGTGGGCTTAATCCCCAGTTGGGCGCATGTAGGAGGCAACCAATCAATGATTCTCATCACTGATGTTTCTCTCTCTCTTTCCCCCTCTCCTTTCCTCTCTGAAATCAATTTAAAAAAATGAGTTGGAAAAAAGAGTATAGTCAGTGTAGGCAAACCTATGACACGCGTGTCAGAGGTGACAAGTGAACTCATTTTTTTGGTTGATTTTTCTTTATTAAATGCCATTTAAATATCCTAATAAAAGACAAACGGGTAACTGACTGTACCTTCCCTATGCTTCCCATTGGCTAATCAGGGTGATATGCAAATTAACTGCCAACCAAGATGGCGGCCGACAGCCACACAGCTGAAGCAAGCAGGAGGCTTGCTTGCTCCCGTGACGGAGGAAGCCAAGGTTCCCCGCCTGCCGAGGCCTGGGTCTAAGCTCCGAAAGCAACAAAGTTTCAATTATAGAAGGTAAACAAACCCCAGATACCTGCTTTCAGCAGGCCGGGGCCTCAGAGCTGGAGCCGGCTCTCAGCTCCAGTGACAGCAACGAAGTTTCAATTATAGAAGGTAAATAAATCCCAGAATAAAAAAAAAGAAAGAAAGAAAAAGAGGAGAGGCTGGGAGCTTCAGTCACTGGCCAGCCTGAAAACGGCCCTCAGTCCCTCACCCAAACTGGCCAGGCACCCCAGCAGGACCGCCCACCCTGAAGGGGCTGTGGCCAGCCTGAAAACAGCCATCAGCCCCTCACCCAGGCTGGCCAAACTCCCCAGAAGGGACCCCCACCTTGAAGGGGCTGTGGCCAGCCTGAAAACAGCCATCATCACTCACCAGGCTGGCCACACACTCATGGGGTGAGGGGCCCCACTGGGGGGCTTGGCCAGCCTGCAAACAGCCATCAGCCCCTCACCCAGACTGGCCAGGCACCCCAACGGGGACCCCCACTCTGAAG